TTGACGATCAATCACGCTACTGTGTTCGTACAGAGCGTAGTAATATGCTGTGTCTCCTATTTGCAGACCAGGACACAGTGTCTGTGAGCACATACAAGGAACAGTATGTCTTAATTAGCAAAACCTACTGTCTGCCTACTTTCCCAACAATGAATGGTATAAGCATTACAATTATGTCGAGCTCAGCGCCGGTAGTTCCATCTCCGAACGATGTATGATGACTTGATGTGTGTGTACCCAGAGCAGAGTGATCGGCAAAGTTGTGCCAACTTTCGCTAATCATTCCCAGCTCGTGTTTGGCATGAATGCAATCACCAGCGACATTTATGGGAAAGTGTGTAATATGGAAAATGGAATGTGGACCCTGAACCTTGTACACCTCGACAGATCCTTGGTCCCCTATTGATAACGGCTGCTAATGTAAAGCCAGCTTGTATAACTGAAATTTACCTCGACAGGTAAAACAATGAATCAATGCAACAAGGTTCGACAAAAAATATGATAAAGTGAGCAACATCGCTATTTCTATCCTGTCGTGATCAAAACATCCTAGCAGATACAACGTTTGGCAATATCAAGAAAGAAAATCTTTAGATATAAGACAGACAATCACCTGCAAGAACTGGGCGGTAGCGTCCTGATAGTTGCAAGTAACCAGTTTGATCAACCCGGACGCCAACGCCAATTCGGAACGAGCGGCGGCCACGGCGGGAGAAATAGGTCGAGCATCGCCGTTTTTAGGTGATTCAGAGTTCTGAGCTTCGCAAAAATTCTCTGCCATAGAAACGTATGCACCCGCATGTGACCACGCTGCCTGATAGATGGAGACCTAGCAAAAGAAGCCAGCATCATCTAATCGAAGCGTCACAATTTCAAAAACAAATTGAACTGGCTGCATTTTGGGAAAACCGTTCAATTTATAATATGATAATGAATGCATTCAAAGAGCATATTTAGTGAGAAACAAATTCGCTAACCAACAATTGTCTTGTTACAATAAACGAATTTGCGCATAAACTAGTATGACAGTTATCTTAGGAACCGTATCACCTAACTCCATAGGGGTGAGCAAACGTTCAGCTACGGTAACAAAGTATTTGCTAACTTAACGACAACAGGCTTACTTTTACAATACTGAGGCAAGAGTTGAGATCCTGCTGCCACGAAGTGCAATATTCGCGAGAACGTGTGTAATACTTCATGGCACCACTCAACTCGCCAACATCCAAACAGAAATTTGCTAAGTCAACATA